TTTTTTTTTTTTGTTTTTTTTTTTTTTTTTTTTTTTTTTTTTTTTTTTTTTTTTTTTTTTTTTTTTTTTTTTTATGATAACAGGAAGACCATTGGAGTTTTCTGTTGTGGACCAAACAAAATCTCTAAGATACTTCATAAACTGAGCAACAGCAGCAACTCTTATGGGACAAGGTTTGAGTACAATAAAGAATCCTTCAGCTGAAAGTCTGTTGGAATAACAAGACTCTCTGGAAGATAAAAGTGCAATTTTTTTGTTTTGTACAACTTAGAAGTTCATCTGTGGTTTAAACAGACAGAAATATACCAAAGCATAGCACAGATGTTTTTATTTATGATTATTTAAGACTGTGGATGCAGCAGTATACCAACAAATAATCAGTGCTTATACTCAAATGCGCTCACACAATATTTGTGGCAGGAGTGATCTTTGGAATTGTTTCTGTTAATTAAAAAGAACAGAAGCTGGGGAGAGACGCAATTGTTTTGAAAGCTGATGGAAGAAGAATCTGTGGAACCTTTACACTTCCTCCACTTCAGTCCTCTGAAGCTGGATCAGCAAACCAAACCCCAGGTTTATTCAAATGACAAAATATAGTGTATTACAAAGACTCTTGCTTTTGTTGGTGTTAAAATCTCATGGCTTTGGGGTGAAAACACTCCATATTAAAGATTTTATTATACATTGCAGAACTGGGATTCTATATTTAAAATATAGTGTTACTCTCACTAGTCTACTTCTGTAATGAAGTTAACCTAAGGAAACATGAGCATAACTGTGTAGCACCAGTGGGCAGCCTTCACTGTGATGTCAGTCATAGCCTTTTGGCAAGCAAGCAGCTATACATGGAGAAGTCTCTATCTTGCATCAATTCAGCATTCAGTGGGTTTGCAGAGTATGTATGATTTATGAACCAAGAAAGTGATGAACACAAGCAAACAGGATCTCAAGTTTTATTATACCACCCAATGTGGAAGTTTCACTCACTCTGCATTCACATGCCCTGAATGGCAAATACCTAAGGTATTCAGATGCTCTTACTGATTATTTTACAACACAGCAGGTTGAAATCCAGTTTTAGACGTCCCAGTATGTTTGGTTGACTGTGATCCTTTGAGTACTTTCCTTGGAGCCATCTTTGTTTGTCCTGATGTCACTAAAAGCAGGATGAGATGACATCTATGTCAGAGTAAGAATTAAGTCCTCAGCACTGTGGCTTCTTGAATGGTGTGTGCAGATAGAAACCTTACAGGAGCTGCAGTATGCTTTCAGTGCACTCCAAAGGGGAAAATCTGAAACATCCAAATTTAAGCTCTCCTTCCCTTCTCCTTTCCACAGCTTTTTTTCTGCTCATAATTGCCATGGAAGGGCTAAAGGATGAAACAGGCACTTTATAGCTTTTTGATTCTGAGGAGCACCTTTTTTTAAATCCATCCAATAGCCCATCCAACTTTCTTTATTTCTTCTTTTCTCCTTTTCCTTATTTTGCTGAGAAGAAGGCATTTAAGCAGGAGTCAGACACTTAGCTGCCATAAATAGTCACCACTTTAGTGCCTCTTAATAGAGCATCATCACTAACATGCTTAAAACCTTCCCCTTAATCTCCAGCAGAAGTCTGGGAGCAGTACCATGTATGTTTCCAGCATACACAGGTGAAGGATGGCTCTGGAAGTCTTATGCCTGTGGTTCACCTGTATTTAGCACAGTGCATTTGATTTCATTTACATCTTTCCAAAGACAACCCTTTTTATTTTAGTGGAAAAGACATTAAATTTTCACTCACAACACACACTGTTCAGGAGTTTGCAGGTATCAGTATAATGTTTAGAGAGAAGCATTTTTCTAGTAGGTGATGTATAGGCATGTTGTATGTGCAACTAGTGAGGATGAGTTGGGTCTTTGCCTTGGCAGCTTCTGCGAAGGAGTTGCACTCAGTGAGCATCAGGGTGAAGGTGCATCAGTGAAGCCACATTGGAATGTTTTCTCAGTGTCTGGACTTGCAACTGGAGTTTTTACCTCTGGCTCTGCCCAATTTGAAATTCAGGGAGGAAGGAAAGAACAGAGATGGATGAATTCCTGCTGATGAGAATTTTCAAAGTAGCCCAGATGAGAGAAACCAGAATAGAAATGCAATGTGAGATGGGAGCCTACATTACAGCTACTAATTTTAATTATTTTTCTTTTTGAGGCTGGGAGGACCATTATTTTCCTATTGGATCTCACTCACCCATCACTGTAAAACTAGAGGTATGCAGCAAAGGATTAGACTCTTTTTAATCAGTAAGATTTATTTTTAATTCTACCTGCATAGATTTTATAGTAAACATAACACTGATGGCAAAACACATAGATATTGGATATTGTTGGTCCAACGTGCTCTTTTTGTTTTCTGACTTAAAGCATGATTGAAATCATACCTATGTCTATTAACCACAACCAGACAGTGATCTTTTCCTCATGCTTTTTAATTACAGTTTAGAGTTATTTAATCACAATATTATTTGTGGTTTCACATTTCCTGTCTGATAGGTATTGGTTCCATTACCATATAATGAGCAGTTAGTTTTGCAGTTAGCTCTGTGCTAAAGCAGATTATATTTTCTGGTTCAGCTTCTATAAAGGTAACACTTTAAAATAGTAGTTCTAGTACTGTGCACTTGTTCTGCATTGTAACAGGAGTCAGTGGCTGCATGTAGGCATATTAAACACCTGTTGTTACATTGTGCTGTGCTAAGATCTAAGCAGATCCAGGCTCTTGCATTTCCATCTTCATGCTGTATCAGCCTCAGCTCTTTCTTTGATCCACTTGTAAAACAAGCTCTGGACTGTCTGCACCTCTAGACTGTTGTGAGGCCTAATTAATGTTTTGGGATCACTTCAGTGTACAAGCACTAAAAAGATCTGTCTAATTGTTATGCAAATGTACTTGTGTTTTATTTTGGGTAAACCTTTCTATTGGTCATATGAGTAATCTCTAGACCAGATGAGGCTGAGTTTGGGGAAAGTCTGAAAGCCTCAATTGCTTTTTTTCCTTTTCCGTGAGCCATGCCTCTGTTAGAGGGGCAAAAGGATTCCGGGTTGTTAGTTACTGTGACTTGGCTTCAGGAGTGACAGATATTATGATAAACCATCTTCTACAGGCTGTGTCGTCACTGCTTTTTCTGAGTGTGCCTCCATCTTGCAAAACAAAGTCAGACCCTCTTTTAAATTCCTTTACTTTTTTATCTGTAAGCCAAGTGTATGTGAAAATATAATGCAGAGCCAGACAAGTAAGTGAAGACTGACAGCACTTAATTCCACATTTGCAGATTAACTGGATTTATGTAATTGAGCATCTCTTTGCACTTTAAACTGTGTCCTGTGAATGCATCATAAGTGTCCTGCTGGCAGGGAAAGGATCCCACCATGTATTCTGATACTTCTCACTCATTCTGTCACAAAACTGCAGGCCCATCAGTGTTTGCTCAGCGGGGTCATTGTGTTTTATTCTTTAGAAATGTTTCAGGACTGTCTTTTACACCAGGAACGTTTCCATGCCATGATGGAAACCAAGCCCTTTCCCTGCAATGGGAATCCAACCCTCATGCAGCAGTATGGGACTCAGGGCTTTACACAGCTAACAGCTGGATTAATCAGATTTACCCAAGACATCCTATTCCCATAGCACTGAGATTACATGTGTGAGTAAATGTCCACTGACACAACGAAGGAGTGCAGAGACGAGCCCTGATGTTGTGTGGGAAGGCCTTATAAGGAGTGACCTTCACCTCTGAAGTCTTCAGGGCAGCCTGTCCCTCCACAGTGATTATTCCAGCCCTGTATTTGAAGCAACACTTCCCTATTTCAGTATGTGGTACTACTACTAGCATGTGAGTTCTTCTGGGGTCTTTTATCTGCTCTTCTAGAAGCCAGGACTGAAAGCAGTATGAGACATCACAACAAACAACTTTGAACCTGGGCTGGGAGAGGATGCCACTGCGTTCCACAGACATCTAGCTGATGACTTCACTGCTTAGGGTACAAATTTAAGCCAAATCCATATTTCTGCAAAATGCTGATTGTTTTCCACAACAGACTAAAGAACAGTTGCTTTAAAGAGAGGACAGATAAACCCTCTCTCTGAAGACTCCTGTCCACACAAGCCTGATGTGAAGATGTGTATGAAAGCACTGCACGTATTGTTATTACAAGGGTATGTAATGATAGAACAAGTGGTAATGGCTGTAAACTGACAGAGACCGGGCTTAGATTTGATATTAAGAAGGAATTCTCTTCTGTGAGGGTGGTGAGGCACTGGCACATGTTGCCCAGAAAAGTTGCCATTGCCCCATCCCTAGAAATTTTCGAGGCCAGGCTGGATGGGGCTTTGAGTAACCTGAGGGGTCAACCTGCCCATGGTAGGCGGGTTGGAACTAGATGGTCTTGAAGGTCTCTTCTATCCCAAACCATTCTATGACTCTATGATTCTTTGATTCTGTGATTCTATGATTTCAGTTTCCACTGCATCCTGATCATGGGCTTACTCCCTCAGCTCTAAATCCCCATTGTTTTATTTGGTTGCTGATCTTCACTGACCCTGTTAACAGATGTGTCTTGCAGGTAAGGGAAGCACTACGTATATTTGCATCCATGCACAGTCCGATCTAAGCATGGAGCAACCTGTGAGCAGTCTTTACAACCAGTGCAAACAAGTGCAGAAGCTGTCAGTTTGCTCCTAATCCTGCAAGCACATAGGTGAGAAGGAGATTTGGAGTTGGCTGAGAAGGGGCAGATAATACGAGTAGCAGATGAGCCACGCTGGGAACAGTAGTTCCCCTGTAACAGCCTAACATAGCAGAGAAGTAATGGTTTGGTAAGACTTGTAGAACAGCAGCCTAAGAGAAAAATTTCTATTCAACATTAACACACCAGGTTTTAGATTCAAACTGCAAGACATGACTTAGGTGAAGCAGGCACGTGCTAACTAGTCATTGCCTATAGCAGTTCAAGGCCCATAAGTCAGAGACATAGTTATTAAAATGCAATGTTTACTTTTTCAAAAAATAAAAGGGCTTCTAGGGAGATTAATTTTCACTTCAGCCTGGCAGTCATTTCATAAACTTGCCAGTGTGATATAAGACAAACTGGATCTGTTCTTTCCTGTATTATGCATCTGATTTGTCTGCAGATTTTCCACCTCACAATTTAAACAAATTTTTACTGTTTTAATAAAGAGGATTTAACAACAAGATTTAATAAAAATGCTGCTGGTGCCTGTGCAGAACTGAGATTTTTCTGCTATGAATGTACATTTTTTAGGGATATATATAATATAGCTGATGACTCAACTGTGAACAGTGATTTGGGATTTGCATCATCTCTACTTCTGGTGTATTTCATTAAGGCCACTGTGGTGATGCACTGGTGGGATGCATGGAGCTGAAATGAGACTCTTCATTCCCATAAAGAGTCTGATATTTTAGTGCCTGTACTAAGCTTAGTAAATCCTAGAAACTCTGGAATTTCCTTTGTAGGTACAGTGGAATAATTAGCATCTTTTAAGGTTAAATCCTGAGTCCTCTGCTGGACTGACATGTATAACAAATGCTCTTACACACCAGTTTTGAGCAAAAAATGCTTCTCCTTAAAGGGTTGGATGAGTGTTTGGGAAGGTTTACTATCCTGCTAGCTATATCACCCGTGTTGTAAGAAGGATGGGATCCATTTTGATACCAAGGAATGCTGTGCACTTCCTCTGATGTTATGAATATCTCCAAACTTGCAGTAGATCTCAAGGTTTGCTGTGCCTGAAGTGTTATATTCTCTAGAAGGCTCCTATTTGTGAGAGACAGGTGCTGGATCTGTAGTAAGGGCAGTGGATCTGCTTCATTATTTCATGGGCACAGAGAGAAAGCTGGAAAAATCCACTTGTCCCAATTGTGAATTGCTTCTTAACAGAGCACTTGGATGAGAGGGAAGCCTTCAGGTAAACTACTGTCAGCTAAAGAGCAAACCAAGGAGGGCAGGAGAATGCAAACAATGAACCAGGTGAAATATTTTGAACCTGGGAGCCAAGGGGAAGGAGGAGACCTCTTGGCCTCTCAATTTTAGAAACTAAAAGCAAACCCCATTTTCTAGATGTACACACAGTCTTTCCCTGGGGGTTGAGAGCTAATATATGCAAAGACATTGCATTTCCATGCACAACTCGGTGCTAAACCCCAGAAGAAAACTAGTATACTTTAGCAAAAAATTTGGAAATAAGCAATTTGTTTGAAATAAACCTTTTACTTTTTCAAGCTAACTTAATGAAAAAAAAAAAAAAATGCTTCTGTTCTGCAGCTTTGGGATTGGAAATAGCTTTACATGTTAACTCCTTTTCACTAATATACTTGAGTGTAGAGTTCTCTGTATCAGCTGTAAGTAGCATTGACAGTTCAATAAATAAATTTTGTGTTTGTTGCTGCTGACCCTAGGAAAGGACAGCCTTGAGGATGAGAAGCAGTGTTACATAAATGTCTAGTGTACATAGCAACGCTAAGCAGGGAGACGCTGCTGCATTGCTTTTGGTGCACCAGTCACACATTAAAATTCTGTCATTGCAAGGTCACGTTGCTCATCTCATACTCTGCAACCCTGAGGAAGAAATTTGGATGAGAGGTGGGGGAGGAAAAGCGAAAATTTCCCCTTGGTGCTGTAACCAAGAATATGCTCATCGACAGCAGGGCATATATTTTGATTTCAGAAGAGCATGCCATTTCTTTTTCAGGGATAACGGATTCCCTGCTGGTGCTGTGTCATGGTGTTTGCATGTTAGAAGTGTAACACAGTGATAATAGGTTGCTTTTGAATTGAATAAATAATACCTCTGAGCTTTTTGCTTCTCCCTTTAATAGTCTGAGGAAAATGCAAAATGCCAGGGAGCATATATAGTGGACTGTGTCCCGAGCTGCACTTGGTGCAGCCTGGTTAGGAATGCTGCACAGAATGCTGTTTCCCAGCTCTGCTGGGAAGAGGTGAGGTTTAAGGCAAAGGGGTAAACAACTGTTTTAAGGAGAACACAGCAGTGATACATGATCTACAGTCAGAAGCAGGCCATGTCACATTGTCTGTCACATCTTTGAATGGTGCTGAGTCAGAGCTAGCCCTAGGTACCCTTTGGCATCAGGGAAAATCAGAGGCTCTTGGATTGGGTCCGCACTGTGAGACAAAAGACAGTTTAAACGCAGCTAAGTGAGCCTCCTGTGTGCGCTTTCCAGCTTGTAGCTCAGAGCTGTCGTACCTGGGGGTGAATTGTTAGACAATGAGCTGGTCTGACCTATGA